TTTTTTTTCTCCATTTGCCTTAAATCTGTACTGTTTGGTTACTGGCCTCATGCTGTAAATCAGTTTCTCCTTGAGCACTTTTAAGAGAGAAATAATTTGAAACATCTCTAAGAAAGCTCCCTTAAAGTTCTCAACTCTTAAGGAGAACAGTCCCAGTTTCTCTAGTCTTTCCAGTGAATTGAAATCCCTCAAACCTGGTGCCGTTTTAGGAGAATCTCAGAACGTTGCCAGCATTAGGGGAGGCAGTCCATGCTAGATTATATCAATGAGTCATTTTTTTGTCAATATTTCTAATGCAGTTGTGCTATGTCAATATTGCCGGTCATGCTGTAGTTGCAGGTCTCTGACTAGCAAGTGATGCTGTGCCATGTTGGCTAGGCCCACCTATCATTTTGCTTTTCTTCCAGCCATATGTTTAAAACCTTATGCGACTTTGATAAATGCACAAGACCCCTCCCACTCTTACCAATTTCATAACCTGGTCAATCGTCAGCTATGGCTCACCATTTGATAATGCAACTACAGACTTATCTTGATAATTTGAAGCCATTTTTATGCTGAGGTATCTAGCAGGTTGAATCGACCAATATTAGCATCAGTGTAAACTTAGGGTTAGGGATAGGTTAGAGTTGAATCATACAGTTTGGGTGACTTTGAATTAAGAATATATGGAATGCATAGTACCATGTCTAATTAAGACAGCAGTTTAAACCTTTTCTTGATTTTTATTAAATATATAAACTCACTGTTACAGATCAAGATTAATTTTCCCTGATTATTCTAATCCGCTGATTTGTTTACTGTTGCAGATTGTGGTGTTGTGTTTTGCCATTGCACTGGGGAGTTTCAGTAACAGATTTGACCCATTCTCCACTTCAGTGACAAAATCAGTGCTCCCTGTCCAGGATTCTACACAGGAGTCATATGCAGCCACTGGTAAGTTAGAGTCAGCCTCTGACATTTGTTGTTTTATTTTTGATAGAGCTGAATTTTCTTAATCTCCAAAGTAGGATTTGGCCTTCTCAGCAGCTTTCCTTTATAGGTTGGAGTTGGTATTTATTTAGATGATTGGTGCTTGTAGTTGCTAGCTGCTTGAGACTGATCAGGGACCAGTGCTAACTTGTTCAACCCTTTTTTAAATAAATGTTCAGGGAACTCCTGTTCAACTATAAGGATTTCTTTTTAAAAAAAAATAATTAGACGTGTAAAAGTGAATTTGCAGATGATTGAAAAATGTGCAGAAAACTATTTCTTGCATTCATAGGAAGATTGATCTGCTTCCTTCTGTGCTCAATCTCCCCTCACCACACTCTTCAAACTTCTGTTCCTTTGGTTCTTGATTCTTTTATCAACAAAAGCAATATTTTTCCATTCTCCGATACTGTGCTTGTATAGTAAACCTACATGCAGCAGAACTCTAGATCTCACTATTTTAAATGCCACTTAGCATGCCTGAACCCATTTAAACTGAAATCTGATCATTTTACTGTATCATGTGTGAAAACTTTTGATTTCTTGTTTGCTGTACTCAACATCTGTTATTTTGCCAGTGTGTAGAAAGCTATCCAGTTAAACAATGAGTTCAAAAACAAATCTTCTGGAAAAGCTCAGCTGAGTTCTGAGGAAGTTCTATTAACTGGTTTTTCTTTCACAGATGCTGCCACCCCTGCTGAGCTTTACCAGCAAATTTGTTTTTGTTCCTGATTTACAGCATTCGCAGTTCTTTTGGTTTTTTTTTTAGACAATCTGAGTTATTTGGTAAGAAAATTGTTGGCAGGCTTCACGGTGAAGGACATAGATGTAGCTTTAAATGATCATCACTGCTCTTCCCACAGTTCGCTCAAGGCATTTATTATTTTATGAAGAACATCCGGGCTTTGAGGACGAAATCAGTTCTCTGATGTCGACAGATGCCTGGGAAAAATTAGCAGAGTCTGTTCGGGAGCGAGCACGACTGGCACAGTTTCTCACAGCCAGGGGTTCAGCACAGAAGCAGCAAGCACAGGAAGCAGTCACACACTCACAGGAGCCAACAGAGGAATATATAATATCAAATGAAACAAGAACAGAGAATTCAGTCCTGATAGAGCTCCAGTCGCAACGGTATGGCTCATATACCTGATTTTATTATTTTTAAAAAAGCATCCAATTCCTTTCAAATGACAAATTTTGGGAGAGGAGGGGAAAGAAATCATCCATAGTTTTTTTTTAAGTGCAAGTTTTGTTATGCAAGATAGTGAAACCTGAAGCACTGATGGGTAGATCTGACACCAACAGAAATAGCAAAAATCTGCAGACATCCATTATGTAATTTGCTGCTGCTTGTTGCAGTATTTTAGTCTCCTCCTGCTAGTAGGGTATATCACTTCATTGGAAGCCTCGGTTCGGTGGGAACTAAAATTATTTATTTGGCAATTTACTACATTTCATAGGCACTTCTATTTTCTGCGAGACACCTTTCCTTGAAATGGAGTGACTGTCATGTTATAGCAAATGTATAGCCATTTTGTATGCAGCAAGAACAGAATGTTGCCAAGAAGTGACCTGCATGTTAATCTTTTTGCTACTCTATGTCAAGGGAAGGATGTCTTCCAGAGTTTAGATAACTCTGCTCTTCAAACAGTCCCGTGCAATTTACACTTTACGAGCAGAATAGTTTAACATTTCATTTGAAGGTTGGCTCTTCTGAAAATACAACCCTCACCGCTGCGATGGAGTGAGCTTAGATTGTGTGCTCACATCCTACAAAAGGACTCAAACTCTTAATTTTCTGATTCTGGCAATGGTGCTTACTGAAGCAAGCTAATATTCTACCAACTATAGCCATAAGCTGGTTTACTCAAATCTGGGTCCAGTAGAATTCCAACTTGTCAGTGGGTATTTCCTGCACTACATGTTCAGTTCTCTAGAATTGCATTGGGTTTTGCATACTGCTAACTTGATTTGAGTCAAATATTTCCCCATTTCATTGTTCAAAACACTAGATAACTTTTACTTTGTTTCCCACTTAACTGAAAGGGGCTCAGTTTATTGCTTAGAATTTGCATTTATGCCAGTTTCCTGATCCAGCACAATCCCAGTTCTAATCATAGATAAGAGCACTAATGATTCTACTACCGTAGCAGACTGACACAACAGTGTCACAAAGTTGCTTTTCCATTGTAGTGAATCTTCTGAGCCCTTTCTGTCTGTGCATCTGGTGCCCAACTGCACTTCTATTTTCTGTGCTACTTACTCATTAGCAACTTGGTAAATATATTTCTTCCAGAATGTTTTTTTTAAACATGCAAATGTATGTGTTAATTTATACCTTTTGCATCTTGCTTTGCCTTCAGGAGCCTCCCAAGTGTAGGGATTAATGGAACCACCGTTGAAATTGACAGAAGAGTCAACACAACATCCTAAACAACCATAAGGTGGTGTTTATACAATGAATGCAGTCCATTTGTGTCCAATCCCACTCAGTCTGATCATCAACAGCCACCTCCAAAGGAGATCAGATAATTTTGTGTTTTTCCCTGTACTTCTTTATTACAAACATGCTTACTGAATATTAATTTATATAAATTAATAACTATATATATGTATTGGGAACTTGAGTTATATAACACAAGCCTTCATTCCTGCATTGATTCCTTGTTAAACTGTCAGGCTGACTCTCATCCATTTTAAGTGTATGCAGGAATGAATCTCAGTGTGGGCTAAAGTTCCAGGTTTCAGAACCAGCAGAAAGCATTAACCTGAATTTCACATAGTTGGTCAAAATGTGCTGTTCAATTCAACCTCATTTGCTCTACTCATTCTTTAAAATGTAGTCAAGCAACTGAGCAGAATCACTGGCCTTTAGCCCTTTAGCAGATTCATACCCAGGGAGGGTGGTTCACCCTCATTTTCCTCTTCATAATCTCAGTCCCTCAGCTGCCTTCCTTTCTCAAATATGGAGTAGCAGGAGTAACCTGCTGTCTTCTGTAGCTGACAGTTTTTGAGGAATTTTCAGTTTTGTTACTATGTAGATTTAGTCTCTTAGCTCTTGGGTCATAGTAAATAATTTTTTTATCAAGTTTTTGCATTTGTATTTTAGTAAAGATACAAAACAAGTCTGCACTGTGTTCAAATATAGTTGTTTCCAATTTTAACCTTTGCTGACAGATCCAACCAGAATTTTATTGTAAATGTTTACTGTGGCTTTAATGTTTTGATGCCATGTTGGCTGTTCAAAGATCAGTGTTGCTCCTACTGGGCAAAGATTGAAGTTTTGTTTCAGCAAAGCAAAAGAAGGTTACTGGCACCCATAAACAGCCTTTTTGTGAAAGGTTCAGTATTTTTCAGTTTTTCTCTTGCATTGGAAGATGCAATGCCTATAGTGTGTATTCTATCATTGACCTGAAGAGTCAGAATTTGTCACCAATGAGCTACATGTGCTGTAAAGTTCTTTGGTGACATAGTGCTATTAGATGGTACTAGTGTTTACACATTATTTGAGCAACATCAATTGTGTTTTTTTGTGTCTGCATCACGCCAGAAATAAACTCTAAAATGTGCCAGCTAATAATTACCAAAATCAGGTTAACTCTGTTCCTCCTGTTGTGCAAGCCTGCAATTTTGTTATTGAGTGAGTCAGTCAATTTGTTAACAACAAAATGGTGACGAGAGATGGAAAAACAGAATTTGGTGTTGCAGCCTCAAGAAGTCCAATTAAAGAGACTTGGCCATAAAATGGAGTTGCTATACTGTTAGAAATACATTAGGCCATGGGAGCGGCTGATAGATGAAGAGGGTCCATAAAATTGAGGAAATAGGATGACCAGTACAGAAGCCCAAAATATGATGGCCCTAAGAGGCCCCCAACCCACTTGCTGCTGTACATAGGCACACACAAATGTGAGTATAACGTTAATGCTAAGATCGTTATTGCTGGCACTTGTCAACCTGCAAATGATCTCCAATGACCAATATTGACATAAGTCAATTAATCTATTAGGAGTAGTTTGACGGCAGCATCATAGGATGCACGACTGGCCCAATACGATTTTTCTTGTGGGTATAGTTGCCTGACTTGGAAATTGAGGGGGTAAACTAACAACAATAGGATGACCTATTGCAATTGCCCATCCTCCCTGATTTGGCCATAATTAATTATTGTACATCATTCCTTAGTTGGTGAGTGCCCACAGAATGAATAGGCCTCTCCTCCCCTGACCTGCATGCTGTTGTAAACCTTGGAAGCAGTAGCCACAGCAAGGATCTTTGAAGTACAGGGACATAAGATCACCAGACATTGGAATGGTTCAAGACTCTGGTATAAAACCAGAACTCTGAGCGACCTCATTGGCTGTAAAGTGTTCAGTGACGCCTGATTGTCATGATTAGTGACCTGTAAATGCGAGTCTGTTCAGTCTCTCTATAGAAGGGAGCTAGAGATGGAGTGTCCGTTACCCTGTGATGTAGTTGGCAGGAGAAGTGGGGTACATAGACAGAAGAAGTTCAAGGACAGCCTTACTGGAGACCAATTAAAGAGGACCATTTAGGGCTTCATTCCACCAAGGCTGACATTCCACAGGTGGGATAGGGTGAGGGGTAGCCTAGTAGAAACTGGCAGCCTCCTTGTGTTTGGGAGGACTAGGCCTCCTGATTGGACCTAAACAAAGCACCTCCCAGCAACAAAGGCCACGTACCCTTGCTTTAAACCACCCCCTTACCCTGACACCCACTCCCCAACCACCCCACAAGCCTTTCCCACTTAATTAGCTGATGAACATAGAATCAGGCGGGGTGAGCTGATTTTGGGCAGACAGTGGCGATGGTCAGATTTGCCGCCTTCTGTGCTGAACATCTTTCTATATTTTCTAAATATCTGAAGGGGAAAATGCAGGAATGTTAGGAGAGTAGCTGTACATGAGTATCTCCTTAGTTGGGTCAGTACAGCCTTGATGGGTCAAGCGGCCTTTTTCTGTGCTGCAGTGAATCTATGAATCAAGTTAGGACTCTCAGATTTTTCAGATTCTCAGGATCTACTGTACTTTGTTCTTGTCTCACTTTAAAGTTCCTGTTGGTCTGATATGGAATGAGAGACCACCCTCTGGAAGTCTAGCAAACTTAGTTGTTTCTTAGCAAGAATTGAGGTTTAAGAATCATGAATATTTTTTGGGAGGTGCTGCTAGATTTGAAGACCATGGAGCTTACCTGCAGAGGAAACTGTTAATCTTCACTCTCTGAGCTTGTTACGTTGCTGGGATTTAGGATTTGCCAAAGTTAAGTTAATTCCTAGTGAGCACTCTATTCCAGATTCCATTAGTAAGCCAGGCTGGCTAGTTATTCAGAAGCATTTTTGAAGTGCTGCAGACCTACTTAGCTGAACTACTGGATTACCAGATATGTTACAGAAGGATGACTTAGTTTTGACCTTCCATTAGCAGATATTGTCACCTTGGCCATATTTGATTCCAAATAGATCCTGTTTAACAGTAGTGCAAGGTTATTAAAATGTGTTGGATGGAATTTCCATCAGTGGACTTTGACATTTTAGTCATGTACCTGACCAAAAGGTCGGTTGATTGAGACTGTCAGTATTTGATATTTTAATAAGGCAGTGCTTGGTTTTATTTACTGAGTTCCATAGACAGCTTCAGGAGATAGTGAAACATCTATATCGGAGCTGGCTCCTAAAGCACCTTACTTGTGCTCTGACAGCGTACAAGAGAAAAACATAGTCTTGTTTCTAGCTGTAATTTTTCTTATTTTCCTGTTTTATCACTGCTATGGTCCATGCTGCTATGAAATTTTCGCTTATTCCTTTTAAGCTGTAACTACAACATCCAACAATCCCTTTCCCCACCCTTTAGCCTTGCTGTGTAGAATTTTTTGGTGCTGAAGTCTCAATCCTCCTGATATCTCAAATATGTGGAAACCCTTCCCTTTTTTCCCCTTGTATGCTAGAGGCTAATTTTAAAATATCCAATGCCTATGTGACTTCCTTATGCCCATTAATGTTGTTTACAATTGGCAGTTTTGTAAAATAGAACCAATCAATTCTCATTCAAGGAATTACATAGTAAAATAGTTTTGAATTAAACTCTGTCTGTAGACAGTATCCAAAAACAGAAGTTATTTAACAGTTGACCTTTAAATTTATGGTGAAAAGTTAATTCAGACTTTGAAGTAATTAATGGTACAAGTTTTAACAATAAGATTTTAGAGTAATGTTTCTTTTTAAAAGTGTAAGGGAAGTTATAGTTGGATAAAGGGCTCATTCAGATACATTATCAGGACAAAGAGATTGAAGCCATAGTATAATGTAATTTTCTTAAATTTTGACAAATTATGCAATTTGTATTTAAACTGTTAGTATGTGCATTTAGAATTTAAAAGTGTACTACTTCTACAAAATATTTTTTAAAAATTATTCCAAATACAATGATGAAATGTTAAAATAATGAGGCTTTAAAGCCATCATCCAAGGAAGGTAAAATTTAAGTGAATACAAGAACCTAAGAAATCGGAACAGGAATAGACTAATACAGTCCATCGAGCCTGCTTTACCACTTCATGGTTGATATTCGGTCTCAACTCTACTTTCCTATCCACTCCGCATATCCTTTGATTACTGGAGAAACTGAAAATCTGCCTGTTCAGTCTTAAAACATATTCAACAATGGAATATCCATATCCCTATGAGGTAGAGAATTCTAAAAATTCACAACCCTTTTGGTGAAGAAGTCTTTCCTTATCTCACTCTTAAAGTGATCATTGCTTTGTTATGAAAGTGTGCCCCCATGTTCGAGGTTCCCCAGCTGGTGGGAACAACTTCTCAGTATGTATCCTGTTCAACTATCACAGAAACCTGAATATTTCAAGGAGATCGCCTTTCATCTTACCAAGTTCCAGAGCATTTGAACTCAGTTTACTTAAGACTGACCTGTGTCACAGGGGCTATCATCCCAGAGACCAATCCTGAAGGATCTTGAAAGGATAGATGTGAAGAGGATGTTTATTCTAATGGGAGAATCTGGCACTAGGAGTAACACATTTAAATCTGAAATTAGGCAAATCTTTTTTTCTTATTGGGTCTTTGCAACACTCTGCCCGTAAAGGTAGTGAAAGCAGAGGCCTTTAATATGTTTAAGATAGCGGTAGATTCTTGTTAAGCAAAGGGAGACGGATTTCTGTGATATGTAGGAATATAGATTTGACATTAAAATCACATTAGCCATGATCTTATTTAAATGGCAGGTCAGTCTCGAAAGGCTGAACAGCCGACAGCTGCTCCTGAGTCATATGTTTGTAATCTAATGATTACTGCCTCCAAAGTAAGTATATGTTGAGTGAAATATTACTGCTCTTCAGTTCTTATCTCCTGCCCGCATCCCCACCTAAGCCTCTAACGAATTATTTTAAAAACTAACTAAAAGTGTTGAAAGCATACAAGCTCTGGTTGCTATGCTTAGCCGCATGTTAAAGATGTTTGCGTAAATTTGCTGTTTTCAGTACCTCAATCTTTGAGAACAGTTCTGAATTTACTCAAAAGAACGACCTCAGAAAACCTTCAGAAACTCGCCTGCAATGTCTCTGGTCTTGATAACTTTACCCCCAAATGCATTAGCAAGCAATTTACTTCAGCGTCCAATATATAGAAAATAAGTACCAGGTATATAATAATAGATTAGTCAGCAAATGAATGACTGACTTATTGTATAATTCCATTATTTTCTGTTTTTTATTTATTTCCCAGCATTTTTAAACACTTTTTTATCTTTCAGTAATTATGCTACACGCTGCAATCATGATTATATAATGCCACTCTTCCTCCCAAGTACCATTTTGACACATTTTGCAGTGAATGAAGGAACTTCTGCCCAAAGCCTGTAAAATGTTCAAACATTGTCATGCCAAAGTACCAAATTTATAAGCAATGTCTTTTTGTTGAAATAAGAATGTTATGAGCATGCAAAATCATTCAATCCAAAGACATGAGTGCACTACATTGTATAAAATTACATTTGAGAGTTAAGATGAGAATTATTGGTTTGTTTACTTTATTCACCTCATTATTTCCAGTATAGACTGCTGGCCTGTTGTACACCAGATTGTTGATCCTCTTTCTGTATTTTCCAGGTGTCCTGAGGGAAGTAATACTAAAAGATTTTCAATTCTTTGTCAATACCCTTCAAAGAGTGCAATATGATCAAAATTGATTGTACATAAATATTCACGTTATTTACATGTAGCAACACTTTGACATCAGATATCTGCCTCCAAAGTTCTCATTGTCATTTCCATTCATTTTTGTTATATGCAAAGATTTTGTCAACTATGATCCTGATCCAAGTACTAGATAATATTTAAACTGCTGTTCCTCTTTTTATTTGAATTAGTCCTTACTAGATCAAGTTGGACGTCAGACCAGTTGGTATTTTCAGTAAAGTTCTGATGATTTAAAACATCAAGGCAATATTTTGTGGCAGTCTTAAAAGTGGACCAATATTGTGTTTTCCCCCACGCTGTCTAACTGGCTGAAGAAGTGTGTAATTTTAACAGCCTGTTTTTGTATGTCACAACATGATGTATGTGGAATGGTTAACTGAATCCATCGGCATTAATCTTGTCTTTCTGGAGTAGAAAAGTTTATATTTTATTCTATATGGAAACATTTTTCTTTTATAATGACTGTCTTTATACATATAAATTGTATGTTATGCTTCTTTCCATCACAAATAAATATTTTCCTTAGTAAAATAAACTGAGCCATTGCTTAGATTCATTTGTTCAACTTTCCTTTTGTTGTTGCACATCAGGAAAGCATTCACCACTGGGAGGGGAAGAATTGAGCTCAACACTGTTACCTTGGCAGAAAGAAGGCAGAGGGAGAAACAAAACAATTGAGAGCAAAAAGTAAATGCATGGAGAAAAGAGACAAAAAAGGGAGAAGTGAAAGCAACATATGAGCCAAACATGAAGGAAACAAATTGTATGGAAAAATTCAAATTACATAATAACAAATGGAAAACACTAGATTAATAGTATATTTACCATGACGACTTACACAAGAGGCTTAAAGGAGATTGACAATTAAAATAGTATAGCTTTAACTGGAAATATATTCCTGAGGATTGACAAGAGCCTATACTGCTACATCTCATTTAAAAATGAATCAAAAAACATTACTGAAACCAATTGATCAGCTACTTTAACGAGTAGTAGGGAAAGTATTTTAAAACTGTCTTGATAGAGCCAGAAGATGAGCATTTGGATAATTGTAACTTGGTAAAGGATAGCTTGGATTGAAGGAATAAAACTCAAGTTTAACCAATTTGTTTGAGGAAATTGCAATTATGAATGCAAGGACTGAGGACATTACACAATCTAAGATTTTAGAAAAAAAAATGGATATATGCATGGGATTGTGGCATTGGTGTTTGAGGAGAGAAAGCAGTCAATGTTTCAAGTTCAGTGACCCGTCTTCAGAACTGAAAAACTCAGTTTTGAAGAAAGGTCTCTGGACCCAAAATATTGACCCTGCTTTCTCTCCAGAAATGTTGCCAGACCTGTTGAGTTTCTCCAGCAATTTCTGATTTTGTTTCAGATTTTCAGCATCCACAGTTCTCTTTTTTTTTTTGTTGTTTTAGGATCATTGATTTAAAAATAGCTTTAAAAGGGCACTGTATAAATAGACGAGAAATAAATTAATTCATGTCTGAAGAGAGTAGGGATTAAGGGATGTCATAATAGGTATGTTGGTTTTAATGGCCTTGCCTGCTACTAAAAATTCTCATGTTCTACTAAATCTCCAGGAACTAAGCATGCTAGTTAGATCCAAAGAAAGCTTGAACTATTTTCATAAAAATAGACAGGATTCAATTTATTTTAATAAAATTAGGCCAAAAGAAAATTGCCAGTGAATTGAATTAATTAATTAGACTCTGTGGGAGGATCTAAATTGCCCGAATTTAGAGTGCCATCTTCTACTTCTGAGGTGTACCTAACGATCTATTCTTCTTCCTTGGCATCTTGGTGAAGACTCTCCTTCATTGTAGCACAGACAATGCTGCCAAATTAGATCATCTTTCACAGTCAAATTACAATGATAGTTTTTTTTTGTATGAAGTGCTGTAATATGGCTGCTGTACAAATACACACTGACCTTGGGAAAATGACTGTCGAGTGGGCTGAAGGTTTTTCTACCTTCCAACCAATAACGAAGAAAGAATGGTTGCTATCTTTCACTGCATAAGCTTTTCCAGCTACTTTAGTCTGAACTGAGATCTGCTGAGAAAATAAATGCTTTGTATAACATTGTGTTCAACATCAGATCCGCGAAACTGCAGGTGAAAGGATGCATTCATTCTTTTTGCAAATGAAATTGAGAAATAATTTTCCACATTTGGCATTCACCACAATCACCTGGACCTGGTTAACACTTGGTCCTTGTGCGCATAATACCGTGGTTGCATGTGTAAAGGCCTCTTCAGTGTAAAAGCTGAAAAGTGACTGCCTATTTCAAAGTACCTAAGATATTTTTCCAAAGTTCATTGGGACCCCAGGTGGGCTTGTGAGCTCTGAAGCAACAATGGCTGCCAGGTACTCAGTGCAGAAGTGCAACTATTATAACTCTGACAAAAATGTCTCTATTCTCACAGTACGCACCCACCCCCTTACCCTCCAGTCTTAAGGAAGAGTCATGACAATGTTCAAGCCTGAAAATTGAATCATAATGGGGAAAAATATTTGGGAAGCACTGCCCTAGGATGCCAAACAATATCTGTGCAAACCCATACTGCTGTATTAGATGTGATGCTGGGATTTGCTTTTTGCTGTTGGCAGTCTTATCTGCTTCTTGTTGATGGACGGATGGTGGTCAGTTCTGCACAGAGACCAGCTGGCATAGATCTCATTTGGTCACATCACTGATGTCTTCAAGGAATCTTAATAAAGTTGTTTTTTATTTTGACCTATATTGTGTTCACAGGAAGTTTCCCACCTTCACCCGCATATCCACAAACAGTTCACTTATTGGTTGCTGACCCTGCATAGGATTTTGGCTCAGTGCATCTCTCCCGAATGAAAATATTGCATTTTCTAAACCATGAAACACAAAGTGTTGATTGAGATTTAAGAAAACACCAAACTTGGCCCCAAACAAAGAGGTATTTTAAAAACAGGAGTGAACACATGTAGTTCAAATATTTCTTCCTGATTCTGAAAGGTAATGCAGCAAAACCTGCAAGAAATTATGTCTTCACCCCTACATTGTTTCAGGTATTGTTACTGTATCACTTGCACAGATATTACAGCTCTAAATGAACTGCAGCTCTCGAGTAACAAAACAAAACTTGTATTTGTATAGCTTCTTTAAGAACTTCCCAAAATGTTTTACAGCTTTGATGTGGATGATCCACATCTAATCTGTTTATACATTGTTAGATTGCTCAGGTCTCTCTCCTGTTATCCCAGACACTGGTTCAGCAGAGACCAGACTCAGCAAGTTCTGATCTGTCCTGCAAACATCCTGATGCTTTTTGTTTTTATAATGGACTTGTATTATAGTAGGAGCAGCAACTGAACTGTGGTATTTCCAGATATTGCTATTGCAAGATGCTGGGGGCCCTATCCCTCTACTCCTGTTGCATACCATCAGTGGATCTGGACACTTAGTATTGGACGTGGTGCTGGGAGCTACCTTTTGCAGCTGGCAGTTGGTATCTGCTGCTGGATAAGAGCGTCTGAGCTTGCTGTTGCTGGGGTGTTGCTATTCCTGTTGAGATGCGGCTGTTGTTGCTGATTGCAAGGTTGCTATAGTCTGCTGATGGTTTCATTGGATGTTACTATAGTTCCTGTTGCTTGATTGTGCGGGTTTTGTTTTGTTGGGCAAGCTCATTGCTAATAATAGCAAAGTGTCTATGGCTCTAGCATTTCTTTTCCCTGATGCCCGCAGGATGGTTCTGATGGAGGGCACTGTGGGTTTTGACACCTTGTAACTTCATCTTCACCTCAGTCCAGACACTGGTTCTGCTTTCTATTCATTTCTGTTCCTCACTCCATGCTCTGTGTCTCTGTTGCTTCACTCATCTTTGCTCGTTGGTCCCTCTCTGTTCCCAGTCACCATCTCTCATCCTTGCTCCCTGTCCCTACTCCATTCCTCTCCTCCTTGCTCCTCATCTCTGCTTCCCTGTCTCTGCCTTCACTCTCTCTGCTCTTGGCATCCCCTCTCTGCTCCTTGATCCCTGCCTCTGTTCTGAGCTCCCTATCTCTGTTCCACTCGCACAGTCTCTGTTCCTAGAATCCTTATCTCCCTGTCTCTGCCCTCTATCTCCCTGTTTCTGCCCCCTAACTCCTTGTCTATGCCCTCTACCCCCTTGTCTCTGTTCCCTATCTTGCTGTTTCTGCCTTCTACCCACCACACACCCCCTCTCCGTCTCTGCCCCCATCTCCCTCTATCTGTCCTGTACCCGCCTGTTTCTGTCCACTATCTCCCTGTCTCTACTCTCTACCCCCTCCCCGTCCCTGCTCCCTATTTCTCTATCTCCCTGTCTCTGCCCCCATCTCCTCTCTCTGCTCTCTGCCCTCTACCCGCCTCTCTTTGTCCCCGTCCCTATTCCTATCTCCCTGTCTCTGCCCCCATCTGCCTCTCTCTGTTCCCTATCTCCTGCCTCGGGTCCCTGTTGCTGGAGGAGGAGCAGGGATTCTCCCACAATCCTGTGCCATTAGCTGATGGAAGCTGCTCCTATAGCGGCCGCTCTGCCCATTGCCTCTACTCAGCCTCTTGCCGGGGAGCCAGGGCAGAGGCCGGGTGGGATGGAGCGGGACAGCGGGGCGACTTCTCCGACGGCCAGCGGGCTGGGGCTGGGGGCCGGCCAGCGGGAGCAAGCAGCAGCGGCCGGCGGCTGGGAGACGCCGGAGCCCGGCCAGAGCCCTCTCCAGCAGTCGCTGAGCGGATCCCAGAGTCTGGAGCAGCGGCTCAATGAAATGGGTATCAGGAAGCAGACATCGTACAGGTGGGTCCGGCGGATGAGAGCTGCTCTCCGAGCTCGGAGTGCGGGAAACTCGGAGTATAACCCTGGCTGGAAAATTAACCAAAACCTGGGGTGAATGTAACATAGCAAACCGAGGGCTTGTGGATGTTATTTTTTTTTGCAATGAGACTGAATAGTCTATTCATGCAGCAAAAATAAAAGCAGGACATTTGTGACAGCTTGAGGAATAATATTATGCAGGCAATGCTATAGGATTAGGGAGTTTGCCTTTTAAAACATCCATGTCCTGACAGTGGCTGTCTCTGGACTAATGATTTTTATTTAAATTGCTTGTTTATATAGTGGATAACACTATAAACTTTACTATCCGTCCATATCTTCAGCTAAATAAAAAATAATTGGCAAAGAGGTAATTATTCCTTTGCACCACCACAAGGAGATATTTTATGCTGCAGGGGCCTCAACAGAATGAGCTTGGCATTTTACCTTATTATTTGCCATGTGTGTGAATTCACCTCGACCTCCGAGCTGTTTGACAACAACTGAGCATTAAATTGTAGCTCACAATTGAAGGTCCTCTATCATGTCTCACCATTGCTGTTTATATGGGCAGTGCATTTCAGGGTAGAGGTTTTAAGGTTTTCTACTACCAGCTGGTGGATGCCAGTATATCCTGTAGCAGGACCAGACTCTGATTGCATTATGACATTCATTTGGATCCACTGGGAAGGTATTATTCAGTGGCATCTTGACCTCTGTAAACCAAACCAAGTGCAGACTGATTAATTAAAAATGTAAAAAAAAATGCTCCCTCTGTGGACTACCCAAAGAGGTGTATTGTCTAGTTGGGCACTGAACTGTATACATTAGAAAACTTCTAAGTTCAGTTCATAATCCATTCAATGAACTTATGCCAACCAGAGGGGTGTGGGTGCAATTGGTGTCAGTTTCATTGGGAATGGGGGTGGGGAGTGGAGGAGACAAGCAATCCGCCAAGAGTTCTGATCCTAGTAACTGTTCAACTATTCCAATTGGAAAATGCACTGGCTAAGTACAGGATCAGCATCATCGGTGACTCCCCATAAGTTGAGTAATTTGTTAAGGGTCATTGTTTTGGTTGATGCACATATAGTGGCTACTTGACCAAAGTATGCAAGATGGTCCAGCAATTAAGTGAAATAAGCTTAGGGGAGACAATATCACACGGGGTGGGGGTTGCGGGGGCTTGAATAGAAGAGAAATATCTCAGAAATGAAGATGAAATGAGATGAATAAGGCTTATACTAGTGAAAGCTAGCCCGTTAACAGTAAGACATCACTTAGGAGCTGATATCATCTCAAAGTAGCCAAAACATCATACAACCTGATGGTTTAATTATTGTTATTGAATGAGTCAGAACACGAACTACCAGTTAAAGCATTTCAGCTCCCAGCAAGATATAAAATAATGCATGTAATAAGAAGATCTGCCCTTTCATTTTTGAGCACTCTAACATCTATGCATTGCATGCTTCACATGTTTATAAAAATTCATTTCAAGATTTTTTTTCTCATCCAATTATTTGTCGATGGTGCTGCTTGTCTCTCCCTGACAGAGTCCTCCTACTAAAGCTGTTAACAGAGTCATAGTCACACATGGCATGGAAATTGTTCGGTGAAGTCATATCTTGCACAAATACTACACTCACGAAAAAGGGAATTGAAAATTGCAGAGGGCACAGGCTGCTGCCATTGCCAGGTCTCAGATACGCCTAAGCCAAATTGACAGCATATCACATTGAGATTGATAGACTTTTCTTAGGGAAGGGTACTAAGAGTTCCTAGGCTTGTAAATCACACAAGTACATAAGAAATAGAAGCAGGGTTAGGCCCTTGAGCCTAGTCCATCACTCAGTATGATCACAGCAAGTCTGCCTGATTTCCAGCTGACCTCAATATCTGCACATCCCTCCATTCCTTTACCATCCAAAAGCTCTCTCAATCTTGAATATGTTCAACGACTGAGTATCCACAGCTTTCTCAGGAGCCCAAAACTGCATACAATGCAAAGGCCCAGAATGATTGTAGTAAACATTGATATCTTTGTAATAAAGGCTAAAAATAACAGAGTATAATCCCACAATGTTTAAAGTATCTGCAAGTTAACTTATTGTGAGTCATGTAGAACTACATCCAGGTCTCCCTGAATGTCTGTATTTTCTTGTTTCTTACCACTTAAAATGTTATTATACTTTTCCATTTTTCTCATCAAAATGGATAGTGTCACACCTCTACAGTATATTCCATCTCCAACAATCTAATCATTTAATCTATCTTTCTCAGCCTCCTTGCCAGCTATAAACAGCTGAGATCCAACACTGATCCTTGTGCTACCCTGCTAGCCATGGTCTCCCAGAGTGAAACAGCTTCTTTATTTGTATTCTGTTTTCTTTCTGTTAACCAGAGAGGATGGTGGCTCAGTGGTTAGCACTGTTGCCCCACAGTGCCAGGGACCCAGGTTCAATCCCACCCTCAGGCAGCTGCCTGTGTGGAGTTTACATGTTCTCCCTGTATCTGCATGGGTTTGCTCTGGTTTCCTCCCACAGTCCAAAGATGTGCAGGCTAGGTGGATTGGCCATGATAAATTGCTTGTAGAGTTCAGGGATGTGTAGATTAGGGGAATGTGTCTGGGTGGGATCCTCTGAGGGTCAGTGTGGACTTGTTGGACCAAAGGGCCCATTTCCACACTGTAGGGATTCTAAGTCTAAGAGAGAACCACTCATCTATCCATGCTAATGGAGTATCCTAAAGCCCATGAATGTCAACCTTTTGTGTGGCACCTTCTTGACTATTTGGAAATCCAAATGCACCAGTCCCCCTTTATAAAGCTGGTTTGTTACATCAAAGAATTTTAGCAAATATGAATTCTCTCATAAATCACTTTGACTTCTCCCAATCCTATTATGATTTTCAAAATGTCCTTTTATCTCATCCCTAACAATGATAGATTCTAATATTTTTCTTCCTAGCGATGTCAGGCCATCTGATCTACAATCCCTGTTTCCTCTCTCCCCTCTTTCACGAATAGTGGTTTTGCTCCAAACCACACGGACCATTCTAGAGAATGGGAAGTTCAAAAGCACCACATCCACAATCTCTATAACCACCTGTTTTTAAAGTCCTTGGATGTGGGCCATCATGTCAAGCCATTTGATGACTTTTAGTCCTGTTGTTATCCAGTATTACTTCTTTATGAATATTCGTACCTTTAATCTCCTTGTTCTCTCTACTTTGTTCTCCACTAGTTTAGGACTTTTGTCTTCTACGAAGTATTTACTTAATGTTTCTGCCATTTCCTTATTTCTCGTCCTAATTCTCACTGTCTCTGCCTTTACTTTCCTTACTTCTCTTTGTTTTTACACAGTTACAGAAGATTGTAAAATCCCTTTTTTCTGTCTCCTAACACACAATATTTTCTCTTCTGCAGTTTCTTGATCGGCTTTTGCTGAATTATATAATGTGCGTAATCCTTAGGATTATTACTCATGACAATATTATCAGCCATTTTCTTTAGTCTGATGCTATCTTTATCTTCTTTCATTAGCCATGTTCAGGTTCTTTAATATACTAATCTAGAAAACTATCTTGAATGGAGTTAGGATAACTTCTGGGTTTTCAGATATGCAGAAACAGGCCACAAGAGCAACAAAAATGTCTGTTGCAAGAAGAAGTAAAATGCAACTATCAAGACCTGATGTAACTCATGCAGAGGTCACCAGCCACCTGTCTGAAAGCTGTTTGTTGATACTCCTTGACAGATCAGTTTCTACCCCTGATATAACTATTCATAATTTGAGAATGGAGATGTTGAAAATAATGGTAATAGTGAGGAAGTAGGGTTGGTCAGCTTGGTTGGCTACATGGCTAAGAGTATGGTGCAGAATAATGCTAACAGTATTGGTTTAATCTCTTTTCTGAAGATGGGTCACTCGACTGAAAATGTTAACAGTTTTCTCTTTACAGGTGCTGCCAGACCTGCTGAGTTTCTCCAGCAATTGATGTTTTTGTTGTGTCCAATTCCGTTACTGGCTGAGGTAGTCCTTGAGGCCTACCTTGTCCCGTAATGATATTATGGCATGACTCATAATTGGACAATGATACATAGAGAAACAGAGAGACAGAATGGTGAGAAATGAGTGAGTGGAGCAAAGATACATGTTTTGATAAGTCCTTGACCTGTTGTAGCACTGGCTTTAATTTCTCAAGTGAGGATTCCGATACAGGGCTGTTCTTTACAGAATTGTTATTGTCCAATTATACTTCTTGGGGCACACAGGAGACCCAGTTGGAGACTGGGTTTTGCTAATTGAGGCTTTGAGTTACTGAGCTATCACCAGAGAAGGCAAGGTTAGATATTTCAATCAATTTCAACTTTAGTAGCAATCCATTGCAAGCATTTAAATTCTGGGTCCGTAAACACAGAATTTCATGCAGGCGTATGTCTCAAAAGCAGATACCGGAAAATGGGAGGAAGAGGAGAAATTGGCTGTGTTTTTTTTTACTGGGCAGAATGAAGTACTATAACAATAACAAAGAAACTTAAACTTTGCAGCCTAGAAGAAACTGCGATTAAGGAGGGACTTCATTAAAGAATGTCAAATATTGAATTTTACAGACAGATTTTCGCAAAGGTTGTCAGAAAAGAAATCTGTGAAAATAACCTTGGGACTGGTACTGGAAGTGGTTCTTTATTCAAATGTTTACTAACCTTTCTGTCATCTGCAAACAAGGAATAATAGACATGAACATTGGAGTACAAAGATGGAAAAGTTAATACACTGGAGGGATGGACTTTGCTACAATTCAAATGCTGTGCTGACAGATTAAGACAGTCATGATGGACTTGGCTGAGGTAGATGCGTTTATCTCATTCTGATTTGTCTTACAATGTTCGACTGTAAGTCATAGGCACACTGCCTATAGAGCAGCTTTTTTTGGTATCCCCCTTGTTCAGTGGGAGGACCATCTGGATGTGAACAGTG